TACCTGTCCTGACATTAGTCTAGCTCTGCATCTAACATAGGTTCTTTCGATCCACCGACACTTCTAAACATGGCATCAAAAACCCATCCTTTTTTACTGTAATTCTACTTCACTTCACCAAGAACAACAAAGTGAAGGTAGTAAATTTTGTGTAAAATGTGTACAGTTCTAATTATAAAATTATATAATGTCTTTTTTCCTTTTTTTTTTACCCTATGACTCAGGAATGCCAATCGCATTCCTGTGTGTTTACAATTTTCTCATTTTTGTCCTATCCCCTTTTTCATACCTACAAAAACCATTTCATTTTCCATTTATCATCTTTCTTATCTTCTTTTGGTCCCCTTACCCCTATTCCCTTTTCCTTTATCATCCCCTTTTATCTCCCATTTCCCCAAATTTCTAAATTTCTTCCAAATTATTACATCATCACCTGGGGCGGGCCCCAACTCCCCTTATAAACCTCTTCTCCTTTCTTCTTGGCTTCAGTACTTCGCAGCCACGACGACCTCATCAACCTCGCCACGCCAGCTACGATTACCCCTAACCCTATCTGTGGACTCGGCAGATACTCGGCTCTTCATCTCCTCGAAAGGACTATTCCCCCTCGGAGTCCCGTTGTCGAATCTCCTGCGCAGCAGGCCACTTTGTTCGTCAGAACCCAAGCATCGCGCCTTGTATATTATTACTGTTGTCTGCTTGCAGTAACTAAGATATAAATTTGTCATTTATCTAATTGGCCCTCCAGTCTACGCACCACGCCACACAGCGATCCACACACGTAAAGCTCCCCTCCCCCTCCTCCCCCCTTCCCCCTCCCCATCACATAAAAATTTTTACTTTTGTATCTTTTGTGACTTCTCGTCTTTTGTACATCATTATGGCCCCAGCGCATAAAAGTGGTCGTTTACTTTCTCATGGTTACTACTCGCTAATGTGCGACTCTCACCAGTTGTTTGCAAGCCATGTAGCATAGGATTCCAATTCATGGTGTGCTCGATTTTATGTTGTGCATGCTGCTCATCTGACGAAGTATCTGATTGTTTTGTGTGGTCAGAAAGAGACACGGCAAGCATCCTTCGCTCCACTGCTCTCTCCATCACAGTTAGCACTCGTTCTTCTGCTTTCGTCAGTGACCACGTTTCGCATCCGTACGTCATTACTTTCAACATAGTGATATTGAAGAGATAGACATGGTTCTTTCGATTCGACATTGCAAGGACGTAAACGATACTGTGAGGTTTGCGCCAATCGGGAGCCCTTCGACGTGCATTCTCCAGTTGGGGATTGTGGCATATATTCACTTCCTGGCAGGCTAAAGTTATCAACTTCTTCCAAGTCAGCACCATCTATCTACTACTACGTGTCCAAAATACTTGAAAAGTTTTATATTTAAGGTATAAGAAATATAAAGTGACAGTTTTACCGCATTTGTTGATGTATCTATTTTCACACTTTTTCTGACAAAAATTGCTCGGCTGGTAGATTCATGTTAATCTGTGAGTTCTTGTGCAGCCTAGTCTTTGAACAAGAGTCTGCTTTTTTTCACATAATATATCAGATAATGATTCATGGTTTTTTGTTAGAAATGGAGTAAAGAACATTTGCGTCACTATGATGCAGTACCTCGGTCCCTGTGTCGCGTAAAAGCGAGTTGAATTCGGGAGAGAAGTAAAAACGTATTATAGGCAGAAAAAACTAAAATTATAATAACGGTGGCGTCCCACCGTTATAATTTTAGTTTTAGTTTTGGGTTTTCATAGCGTCCCACTCTCATCTCTCCACTCGCGGTGACTGGCGGCTCCTTCCCCTTTCCCCAGTATTGGGATTTTAATCTGGCAGTTGGGGAAGGTGGAAGGGGTTAATTTGGTGTTCGCGATATGTTTATTGGTTATTGTGTGTTGATCCGACGATATTTTGCGTGCTGCGTTTGTGATCGCGTTATTTCAGTTTAATAACCCAAATTTGAGGTATAAATTGGTTGGATATCAATTAGATTGGAATTTTGACAAAATTGGTATTAACCGCGTGTCAGCGAATTGAGAGCAGATATTTTTTTCTTGTCTGTAAGAAGAAAGATGAGAAGCCAGATTTCTCGACCCTCTGGTTCAAAATTTAGACACCCTACTCTCGTTAAAGTTTTCCAACCTTAGTAATTTCTGACCTCTGGAGTATAAAAACACTCCGCCCTCCCCCCAGCCTAGGCATTCCAGAGCCATTTCCAGCTACTCGAGAAAGCTAATTCCTGTCGACTTATCCCTGTTTTGGAGAACTTCGGCTCCCCAGAACCTCGCCACCTTTTTTTGTACTATCTTGTTTACGTTGTATTATTTTAGTTAACTCATGTACTTATAAATATATATGTGTATAACTAGGTGTTTTTCACACAGACATGCACAGGGCAC